ATTGGATGTCATTCAATATGCAAACAATACAGAGAATAACAAAGGTAATTCAAAAATCGATAACTCTGCAAACTGCCACTTTCGACACTTCACTTATAATGAGTGCAGACTATCATTTATAACGAAAACCTATTATACATTTATAAATGAAAAAAAGTAGCATGTGAACTTTTGCAAGAAATAAAATTATGGACTATTTTACTTATATAATAAATAGGTATCTAAGAATAAATAAAACGACATGGAAAGCAAAAATTTTAAACAGGCTGACGAGTATAAAATCTATTAAATTTATGGCAATAAAACTTGCGCAAAAGAAAAAGATATTCTGCAGAAAATTTAATTAATACTAATAAAAATATTTATTAGGATATTCCAAATGTTTTGAAAAAACACCCAACACAAATTCGGTCGGACGAGATAACTTATCGTTACTACATGACAAAAAAACACCAACAATAAATAAAACAATACGTTTTTAAACGAAAGCATTTATTAAAAAATCAATATCCACCATAATTGGATTGCAAATATTTGATAGTGCAACTTGCGCAAAAGCAATTGAAATTAAATGAGAAGAGTTTTAATATGTCAACAATCGTCAGATAAATGGTATCAGACTTAATACCTTATAAAATTAGTTAAACAGGCAGTCGGCTTACTTGAAACGCTTGAAAGCAGAAGTGAGCTATAATCTATGTCGAAAAAAAATGTTTAGTTTTACTATGCACATATGTATGTATGTACAAAAAATTTATATAAAATAAAAAGTCACTCCTTTCAGGCGAAAAATCCGCCTAGACTTACTATGTATTTATAAAAATAAAGTAAGAAGCATGCATTCCTTTTTTAAAAATCAATAGAATATAAAATGGTTAAGTGCTACCCAAAAATCGACAACGAACACTAAAGAATTCTAAACAAAAATGGCAACAAATGATTAGAGATGCAAGGCGATATACGCCAATATGTATTTGTTTTTCATAGATGTTTGTAGGCATGCTCACCTGCGCAAATACTCTTACCTATTTTTTCTAAAAGCACTTTAACAGAGTATGTATGTTTGTGTATAAAAATTTATTTCTAAGGTGCGGTGTAGCTTAACTAGTTCAAATCGAACGTACATAAATACTTGTGTTAAATGCGCAATGACATTTTTTTACTGCTGATAAGATTATTGATACAGCTTTTACAGCGATCGTATATTTGCTGTCATTCGATTGTTTACCTTCTTCGCATTTTTCTAACTTTATATGTGCGGCTTTTATTGTGTATAAAAAACCAAATCAAGTGCAAAATATTTTTTTTTTAATATAAGTATATAAATAGATATGTATGTAAGT